GGGATTTTTCAGAGTACTGGAAGGCTACCGGAACCCCCCGGGAAAGTTAACGGGCCTAATGGGCCATAGTGGAGGAGAGGAGGCAGGCCACGGTAGGAGGCACGCGCGCCTCCCTTGCCCCAATCCGAATTGGACAAGGGGAGGGGGCGTGGCCCCCATCTTTCCTTCTCCCCCTCTCTCCCTTCCCCTTTCCCCCTCTTCATTGGAAGGAAAGGGGGGCAAATCCTACTAGGAACGGAGTCCTAGTAGGACTCCCCCCCATGGCGCTCCCCCCTTGGGCCGGTCTCGTCCTCCCTCCCTACTTTATATACGTGTGCGGTGCTTGTGATAGCCTGGCTTATTAGGGATGATAGACTACTCATATCAATAAGGAATTCCTTCTTTTTCGGGAGCCCATTCGGACAGAACTCCAAAGTTAAGCGTGCTTAGCTTGGAGTAGTTTCAGGATGGGTGACCGACCGGGAAGTTGCTCCCGGGTGCGCACGAGTGAGGACAAAGTGTGCAGAAAAGACTAGTATTGATCTGTGGGGCCAGTCTAGATCTCGCCAGGAGTAACGACCACCGGAGGGTGTGTCCGGGGCAAGATCCCGCCAGGAGTAACGACCACCGGCGGGTGTGTCCGGGGCGTTACAAGTTGGTATCAGAGCCGATCCTCGCGGTTACACGGATGTTTGCGGACAGGTGCGCGGTCATGTTGTGCATGACATTTGTGACCCGTTGTGGCACACGGCATGGCACATGTGCCGGACTGGAAGCACAAATGCATGTGCCAAGAGGGAACGTTCATGTGGCCCGACGAGGACGTCGGTTCCTCTGAGTGGGGGTGTATGTGATGGCTTGACTTATTAGGGATGATAGACTACTCATATCAATAAGGAATTCCTTCTTTTCCGGGAGCCCATTTGGACAAAACTCCAAAGTTAAGTGTGCTCAGCTTGGAGTAGTTTCAGGATGGGTGACCAATAGGGAAGTTGCTCCCGGGTGCGCACGAGTAAGGACAAAGTGCACAGAAAAGACTAGTATTGATCTGTGGGGCCAGTCTAGATCCAGTCAGGAGTAACGACCACCAGCGGGTGTGTCCTAGGCGTTACAAGTTGGTATCAGAGCCGACCCTCGCGGTTACATGGATGTTTGCGGATAGATGCGCGGTCATGTTGTGCATGATGTTTGTGACCCGTCGTGGCACACGACATGGCACATGTGCCGGGCTGGAAGCACATACGTATGTGCCAAGAGGGAACGTTCCTGTGGCCCGACGAGGACGTCGATTCCTCTGAGTGGGGGTGTATGTGATAGCCTGGCTTATTAGGGATGATAGACTGCTCATATCAATAAGGAATTTCTTATTTTCTGGGAGCCCATTCGGAAAACTTCAAAGTTAAGCGTGCCCAGCTTGGAGTAGTTTCAGGATGGGTGACCGACCGGGAAGTTGCTGTCGGGTGCGCACGAGTGAGGACAAAGTGCGCAGAAAAGACTAGTATTGATCTGTGGGGCCGGTCTAGATCCCGCCAGGAGTAACGACCACCGATGGGTGTGTCTGGGGCGTTACAGTGCCCCCTCCACAGTTTACTACCCCGGAGCAGGAAACTAAAACAGTCACAGATCCATGCCTCGAATTCTGTCACTAGAAAATCGAACATTTTCTTTTCAAATAGATCGTTGAAATTCTGAAGATACATGTCACCTGAGATTGGAGGTTGGTTCTCTCCACCTCAGGAAACGGAGAATCTTGTTCAAGGAAGATCACTTAGAAGTTGCAACAGATATATGCCTTTGATATCCTTTTCTACTTATAAAGGTTGGAGTTGGTGTTGAGTTCACATGTGGGATCAACAACCTTCGCAATAAACAAATACACCCCTCTTTTTATTCGCATGTGGAAGTAGCAAACTTCCAAGAGATCTAAACAATTGTATTTTACTCATGTGTGGGACCTAACACAAACAAACAAATAATCACTACTTTAATGGGAAATCAACACTTATGTAGAAGACAAAATAACAATTGCAAACAATATGACTTCCAACTCAAGATCATGATTTTAGTTTTAGTTTCTCCTAACAAAATTTCCAAGTTCTGTATCATATCATAGGAGATTGAACAAATTGTAATGCCCATTCTTCCATATTCCTAAATTAAAAATGTTGTCTCACTATATATCTTTCAAAGGACCTACTACGGCCACATCAAATTCTTTTGACACCTACCTCATCCCTCTTACTGTATTTTTGCTCTCTTTAATCGTGAATCGTGCAAGATATATACTACCATCTTTTGATCATCTTATAAGTCGGTGGCCTAACGTCTCTCCTTTTTAATAGCTCCGTAGCAATGCACGGGCATTGTGCTAGTGATGGTAAAATCCCTGCTTCGAGCACCAATCCAAGTGACGCTGGGGTAGGCTACCCAGACCTTGTTGGTGTCCTCACCAAGCTCTCCCTAGCTGAACCTGAATCAAGGCCACTGGAAAGCCCCCCTTCCCCCCACTTGCGCCCGCTGGTGCTTGGATCAAGAAAACAGTCTCCCTTAGCCCGTCTACGCCACCAGAGCTGCCACCCTCTCCTACTCCATCCCCGATGAAGAAGCTCAAAATCAAGGCCATGACAGGTGTTGAAGCTGCACTAGAGCAAGGCGTGGCATTGGGGGGCCCATCCCCTTTTCTCCTAGCTTAGGAAATGTAACTTATGTTCTCATTTTAGCAGTACTTGATTGGAGCTTAAAAAGGCAGGAAACTTATCCC